CGGTAAATGTTAGCTTTTTGAAAAAATGAAAGCGCAAATGAAAAAAAATGCAAATTTCCAGCCCACAAAAAAGTGGAAGTATTGCTCGAGTGGTCGTCTGTCAAAAATCCAAGTATGCAAATGAACTAATGTTCATTAAAATATTTGGACAAGGTCGGTCGTTCGCTGCAAAACGCACTCATTTCTGATTTTTCGGTAGAATTAATTATTTCTCATGCCTACCTGGAGGGAATTCCACCTTTGAGCAGAATTAAGACCGCACTTGAAAGTAGAATATCCCAGCGAATTTTCAGGCTCGCAGCTTATCCGGCGAGCGAAATATTCACTTTCGCTACAAATATCTTTAAAGTGCCCTAAGTCGTGGCGCAAGTGCAAATTGGTATTCATTTTAGGTATACCATCTCCTATATAGATCCTGACAAAAAATTCAGCCACTGGCTTCCGGCAAGTTTCCGAGTTAGCATAGTACCAAATCGCTGTCTTTGAGGTGGTCGTACGCGCTGCACTAGCATGCGCGGCAGCTCTATTTGAAAACTTTGGCTTGCACATACACAGAAAATATCCCTGCAAAGTTTTAGCTTTGTACCTTGCCTGGTCCGCAAAATCGCTTCCCGCCAAAGAAATTTGCATATTTTTTGGGGGGCCTTTACGCCGGGTCTAGGCGCATCTGGGAGATCTTAGAATAGGAGGGTGACACATAGGGTAGGAACATATACCCGAAATTTCAGTCACCCAGTTTTCCTGGTTGCTGGGATGAAAGTGGGTGACGAAACGCACTCACTTCCACACACACAAGCAACCTTTCGACAGTATGCTTTTTCCTGGCTGTAGCAGCGCTCGACAATATGCGTTTTTGCTGTGCAACGCTATAGCAGGCAAAAACGCATGAAAGAGCTTCGCTGGAAGCAAACTAGCAGCAAAAATCTTGAGTAGTAGCCCTGCTGCTGTCTACAGGTTATTCGGTAAAGTTCCTTTTTCTCTAAGACAGTTTAAAGCTTTTGCGCTACAATTCGCAAATTTACCCAGTGGGGTTGTGCATGTGGATGCAATCATTGCTCGCATATAATGATCCTAGTGCAATAATTCTGGTAAAAAACAAAGTAGCGAGGAGGGGAAGGCCGGAAGCATTTTTAAACTCTTGTTTGACGAATCTTTGAGTCCCTTTTTGATTCTTTATTTTTCTTTTTCATCATTGAGTGCGTGTTGAATCCTTTAGGTGGTTTTCGGCTGATTTAACAGACATACATTTTTGGCGCTTTTGCAAACTTGACATTGTAAAAGCCTACGTGTATGCAGTTGACGCCATCGGTTATGTCACGTTGGAATATGTTTGTATTTTTGTAGGCATCGTAAGCCAAAACTCGGGATGCTGTGCCAACAATGATCACATCATAAGTCGTTTCAAGTTGAGTCACTTCCAGAGCAAGAATTTTTTCATTGATATTGAGCAGTGTTTCGCTATCGTGAATCGCTACCTAATAATCAGAGCTGGTAATTAGTATCTGTGAGTTAAAATGAAAAATTATGTGGATACTTTGATCGGTTGCAGTTCATAGTATCAATCCCTTACTGTGCAATTGACAATTCATCCAGTTACCTTGACCAATGCTGCATTATCTGCTAGCAGTCCTGGCGTTTGTTTCTACTCCTGAAGAGATTATCATCTCAATAGCTATCTCGACTGAAGCACTTGGCAAGGATTTACCCATTTTGAGATATCGCTCATGCATGCATCACCGCGCGGTCTTGAACTCCTCTCAAGCAACAACGAGTTATCTGTCTACTAGGTTCAATGAAAACCACTAAAAGTTATTTCCCTTCTACTGAGCCCCTCTGTCGATATCTGGTACGCGCTGTTTTGCA